ATAAGCAGAGTCATAGAATTGATTGTTAGGTAGAAAGGTATTGTGATGTTACATGGTCAGTGTAAATCTTATGGAAAAAGTAAACTTGGACTTGAAGAAGATTTAATTGTTACCAATGGAATATTTGGATTTTACTATTTTTTGTTTTGGGGCACACCAGTGGTGCTAAGGGGTTGCTCCTGGATCCGCAGTCATGAATCTCTCCTCATATCCCTGAGGGACCATATTGAATGCTGGGGATCAAACCCAGGTTTGGCTGCAAGCAAGGCAAGCATCCTGTCCTCTGCACTATCTCTCAGGCCTCATATAAGGAAATATTTGTAAGACAGGTTTCAAGGAGAGATTATGAAAGGAGAGTTTTGCAAGGTAGATACTGTGACTTTATCGAAAAATATTAGAACAAGTATTAGAATTATAGAAGAGAGGTACAACAGCAAACAACACTGCCCTCCCGTTGTTCATCAATTTACTCGAGCGGGCCCAATAATGTCTCCTTTTTTTTTTTTTGTTTTGTTACTGTGTTTGGCATATTGAATACATCAAGGGTAGCTTGCCAGGCTCTGCCACGCGGGCGAGATCCTCTTGGTAGCTTGCCAGGCTCTCCGAGAGAGGCGGAGGAATCGAACCCAGCTCAGCCAGGCTGGCTGCCTGCAAGATAAAACGCCCACCACTGTGCTATCACTCCAGAAGAGAGGTAGTAAAAGTAGAAATGATGGTCGGGATCTGTGAATTCCTTTTTTAACGAAATCACCAAGGATCTGTGAACTTTTGAATTTTCTCTTAATCTAGTCCAAAAATGCTATTACCTTTTGATAAAATATAAATGTTTTAATAGTTGTTTTTCTTCTAGATTCTCAGGCTAGATTAGACCCTACTTTTGTATCTATCCATCCTGAGCTTATTCATAAAAAGCAAATGCATGTGAAAAATTATTTTTGTTTTAGTTGCCATAGGATTGAATGGAAATGTTACTATAGTTATGAGAAATCCACCAAAGCTTCCATTTCCTCCAAGGATCTGTGCTTAATGGGTTTAAATTCAGAGGCAGCAAATAATCAGGGGTTATTGGAAGAGAGAAGGAAGTATTGGAGAAGTGATACTATGCAGTGAGTAGAAAGAATGAGGGAATTGGGTAGGAATTTTGAGGACCAATCATGTGGGTGAAAAGAATCGGGTAAGGGAAGATGATGAGAATGTGTACCAGAGGACTCCCAATGGCTTCATCTCAAGAAATTACTTTAAAAAGATTGATATTTAATAAAAACTTGTATGTGACTATAACAGACATAATTGGAGAGTTATTTTTCAATGCAGTAATAACCTGGCATGTAGATTATTATCCCTGACCTTTGTAATGATATCTTTTCATTGATTCCTCCCAAAACCCTTTGGTTCATCTTTGGAGAGTTTATAAAGTGGCATTTATTATTTTTCATCTTGAATTATTGGTTGATGGAAATAATCAGTATGGACAGCTAAAAATCGAACCTAGATTAGTTGGGCAAAAACCCAGCCATGATACTGAAGTTTTTGTTACTGTGTAAGGAATATAATTCAGTGCTGGGTTGTCATATAAATACATGAATCAGGATGTTTTATTTTTAGGTTGCAGTTGCTTAATTTTTTTTTATTGACTATGGCTCTTTTTGCTTTCTTCTAGTTAACTCTCGATATACTTTCTCTTTTAGGTTTCTGCTGTTGGAGCTAAACACTTTAGTTCCCTTATTCCTACTAGAGTGTGGATCCTTATTTCTACTAGAGTGTGGATTCCAGATTTCCATGTTGACAGAAATATTGTTACATAATTTTAGCTATTTGATTGAAGTAGATTCTTCCAAAGCATACTTCTAGTCAAGGTCAAACAATTTTAGTATTTGGAATGATGCCATCTTCAATTCCAGTGTTCATTATTCCACTTACATCACTCATGTTCCCAAACTTCTTTTTATTACCTCATTATACATTATTAAGTTTTTGAGATAAATCTTCTCCACTGCATGCCCCAAGTACTTCAGCTGTCATTTCCCTTCTTTTGATCATATCATTTAAGACTTATGTAATCAAAATTCAGTTTTCAAATTTTCGTGTGATTCGCTGATAGTCTGTGTTTCCTTTTTTCATTAAGAAGTTAGAATTGCTAGGACAAGTAGTTTATTGTTTCTTGAAACAGAAACAAATTTCTCTTTCTCAAGATAGTTGTTATAAAAATAAATGTAAACTATTCATAAGTTTATCAGTATATCAAAATATATAAGAATGTTTGACACTTGTACTCATTTTTGATTATAATTTTTATTAGTCTTCTTCTGATATTTACAGCAGTGCTTTCCAGTTGATATATGGCTCCCTATATGCCCCAGGATATTCTGGGGGGGGAGTCATAGGTAAAAATAATGTAAATGGGGATCACAGCATGAGATAAGGGGACCACATACTAGAACAGGGATGCCATAGAAAGGAAATAAAGTTGGAAGGGGGCCATGGATGGAAAAAAGAGGAACATTGATGTACTGAGTAGAACCCAAGTATGCTGCTCAACATTCTAAATGCATCTGACAGTTTTCTTTTCTTACTGAATAAAAATGTCAGTAGTTCCTAGGTTGAGAAATAGTGGCTTCTGTTCATCATTGTGGAAATACATTATTAAAATACACAGATTACGAAGAGCAGTGTTTCAGATCTGCCTCATGTTTTCTTACATTGCGTTCTGTCTACTTAATTTGAGCTTTAGAGTTTGTAAATTGCTATTCATGCCGCCCTAGCTGCAAGCCTGATACATCAACAACTTTTAGCTCAGGTCGTTGGCAATGTTAGGCAAGGAAAACATGGTTGAGAATAGTGAGGAAAAGAGCAAATAATTTTTATTATGCTTTGTATTTTTTTAACTCATGTCCAAATTGGTATGTTTTCAAAATTCCTTTTTGCTCCATGATTATATGCTTATATGCTATCTAAGAGAAACATAGTACATATTAAATGCAAATTTAACTTTTACAGATTAGATCATGCTGCTATGAAAGGTCCTTGCTGTATTATAGTGAATTCTGACACAACAACTTGGTGACTTATGAAACAGAATTTCAAGTGTCTATATTTTAGGGGTTGGAAAGCTAGTTTAGTTGGTAAGACACTTGCCTTGCATGCGAACAACCTGGTTTCAGTCTGCAACACCCATATGGTCCCCCAACTCTTTTAGGGCACAGAGTCATCCCTGTGCACAGCCAGATGAGGCTCAATTTCCTACATCTCCCCAAAAGAAGTATCTGTATCTTTTTAGCCTTAAAGCCAATTTTTTTCCTGACTACCTGTAGTAACCTATTGATGGCTCACTGGTTTTTGTGGATCATGTTGCATTTTTAAAAAAATTATTATAGTTCATGCCCAATTCAATCAGCTAATCAGTGGCTGAATAAATAGTAGTACTCCTACATAAAAAAGTGATTATATTGGGTTACCCATATACTGTGATAGCAGTTGTTATTATTTATACGTGTTATGTAACAAATTTCCGTCTAATTTTTTTCTTCTTTTGTTTATCATGGAGTTGTGGATAAAGATGTTTGAAAAAGTAACAGCTTTAATTACTTTATTGGTCTACTGAATTTCTGATAGTAGACAAGGTTCTCAGTAAATTTATAGGAAATGTTGAATTAACTGGGCACAATATACTCTACAGATAGAGGCTCTTATTGTTGAAAATTGTTTTTAATTTAAAAAATTTTTTAATTATTGAGTTCCCATGCCTATATCAGGTAGTGTTTATTGTGTTGAAGATACACCCATGAACAAATATCAGTCTGTGCTTATTTTGAGTTATTTTTTACTAGAAGGATAATAAAAATAATAATAAGAAGATAGTTTGCAATGAGTTAAAATGGGGATAAGGAATTGAAGAGAAAAAGAAGTGAAGAGATAGTGGGAATATGAGTTATGAGGTTGGTTTGGAGTGTTGGAGAACCTCTCTGAGAATATGACTTGAAACAGGACCCTGAAGGTGCTGTTAGGGACAGCAAATACAGATGCCCTTAGTGACGTAAACTAGTATGTTTAAGAAATAGCAAGAGAAAGGAAAAAAGAAGAAATAGCAAGGAGTGTGATTAAGAGGAAGGAGCAGAGAAGTAGGAGATAGGTATAGGATAGTATATAATATTAGTCTAGAATAGGTGTTTTTAAGCCTTTATCTGACTCTTGTACCCCGCTGACCTTCCTTTCTGTGGCTCTCATGTCTTACCAGTTGACTCCCTACTGGCCTCCCTTTTATATGATTTTCACTTGGAATGTCCTCTGGGCCCCTAAGGTGGCCTTATAGACCCAGATTGGTCTAGAAGTACTTAGCCTTTTTTTGGGGGGAGTGGAAGGTGTGGTTTGGGACCAACACCCTGTGGTCCTTGGGTGAACCATACAGTGTTTGGTATCAAACTGTGTTGATTACATTCAAGGAAAGCGCCTTGACCCTTATACTCAAGTCCCAGGACTTGGCTTTTTATTGAGCAAACCAGAAAAGCATTTTTGATATTTTTAAACTGAGCTGTGATGTAATCTGATTTGATTTAGCAGAATAAGTTTGTAGAAAGAGACTGAGACGGGGTGAAGGAGGAAGCTCTCGATTTCATTTTAGTGAAAAACTGGGACTGGAAGGCAACACATCGGAGAAATGAGTGAATGAATTGTAATGAAGGCCTCGAGTTGAGATTATTAAGAGCATTCATAATTTGCTAGGTATATACTGAGTACTTAACATTGCATCATTCTATTTATTGAGTTTATGGGTACTCTTTTTTCTAGTTTTTAAATTTGAAACTGTTCTTCTACAGTCAGATTTGTAATCATACGTGTTAAGATGTCATTTATTCTCTTTGAATTTTTTCATCTTTATCTGCAAAATGAAGGTGTTTATATAAAACTTTCTTAGAATTTTGGAATAAATAAGAAATAAGATAAATAAATTTTTCTGTATTTACTGTTGTCCACTGTTTTTTGTGCCTAGGTGACAGTTTAGATTAAGGATTACACCCTTCAAGAATAACAAAAATATTTGAAAATGGAACAGCCATATATACTGTCTGACGAAGAGGAGCCAGAACCCCAGAGGAGTGTAAAAGATACTAAACAAGTGGAAGATGAAGACGCCGAATTGATTTTTGTTGGGGTGGAACATGTAAATGAAGATGCTGAACTGATCTTTGTTGGCATGACTTCACATTCAAAACCGGTTGTTTCTACCATTTTGAATAGAGTCACCCCAGGTTCATATTTAAGGAGAAAAAAATATGGCCACCGCAGAAGAGATACTACCCATAAATTGCACCCCATATGTCACTCCACTTCAGCATCAGAAGCAGTAACTGTTTCGGCCCTTCCTGAATCTGAATTAAGATCAACAGATAGCCCTATTATTATCGAGTCTTTGCCAAAGCCTGATTATGTAAATAGTTCACCACAAGTTGTGCCTAATAATACTTTAGAGTTACGTTCTCCTCTGGTTACATTCTCAAATTCATTGCCGCATCCAGGAACAGCACTTTCTGTAGGAGATATGAATGAAAGTTCTCTTGTGTCAAAGAGCCTTTCCATCTCTGAAGCAAACTGTGAAAACTCCAAAAGACCTAAACTCAGTGCTGGAAACATAGGGGCACAGTCTTCAGTTTTTTCCCCTTCAGGTATCTTTCATACAGCTACTCAACAAAGCATACTCTCAAATGATGTTGATACCTCATTAAACCAAGTTCAGAATGGAATACCCTTTTCAATTGCTTTGCCAAAGGAAAATGTCTATTTTAAGCCCATAAGTACTGGTAGGGGAAATGGACCAGCAAAAGCCGACTATCTGAGTCTAGCAAGTCAAAATAAAACTATTGATTCCAACAAAGGAAATCTCATTGTGTTACTCCGTGACTACTATTATGGACAGTATAAAGAAAATGAACAGCCAGAACAGAAGACTCACACAACCTTTAAATGCCTCAGCTGCTTGAAAGTTCTAAAAAATATCAAGTTTATGAATCATATGAAGCATCATTTGGAACTTGAGAAGCAGAGGGGTGACAGCTGGGAAAATCATACCACGTGCCAACACTGCCACCGGCAGTTTCCCACTCCCTTCCAGTTGCAGTGTCACATTGAAAGTGTACATATTTCCCAGGAGCCTTCTTCTGTGTGTAAAATTTGTGAATTGTCATTCAAAACAGATCAAATTCTCTTAGAGCACATGAAAGACAATCATAAACCTGGTGAAATGCCATATGTGTGCCAGGTTTGCAATTATAGATCATCATTCTTTGCTGATGTAGAAACACATTTCAGAACATGTCATGAAAACACTAAGAATTTGCTTTGTCCATTTTGTCTTAAGATTTTCAAAACTGCAACACCATACATGTATCATTATAGAGGACACTGGGAAAAGAATGTTCACTCATGTTCCAAATGTCGTCTACAGTTTTTGACTTTCAAAGAGAAAATGGAACACAAAACTCATTATCATCAAATGTTTAAGAAGCCTAAACAACTAGAAGGATTGCCTCCTGAAACAAAAGTTGTTATTCAGGTCTCACAAGGATCTCTTCAAGCTCCATCAGTAGAAGTAGCATCCGTTACTGTAAGCACCTCTGATTCTGAACCATCACTGCCCAGACCTAAAAGTAAAATTTCAAAAAAAAAAAATTCTAGTTTCAGTAACTCTAAAGCAAATATTTCATCCATTTAAAAAGACATAACAAATTTTGCATTATTTTTAAATTACAATACCTGGCTTTGTAGATTTTTCTTTGTTTTTTGGGGGCCACACCAAGTGGTATTTATATTCTGTTCCTGGCTCTGTGCTCTGGTTTTTTTCCCAGTAGTGATTGGAAAACACATGCAGGGCTAGGGATTAAACCTGGACTTTCTGCATGCACCCATGCGTACAGCTAGTTGAGCTATTACTCTGGCCCTCTTAAGTTTTAAAATGTATGACTGATTTTTAACTCTTCCAGTCTAACACTTAAAAGGTGTCTATGTGAGAAAGAAAAAACAGTGGAAGCCTTTCATTTTTAATTTTGAGTTTTCTGTTTCTTTTAAGTTTGGAAGTTTATTCTGGATATAAAATTTTAATGTTTTAGTATTTTTCTCCCAACTTTTTCCATGCCTTGATAATTCAGTGTTTAGTTAGACTGGAATGGCTTTGTTATGGTGTGGTCCTGTTTGCTGCTAAATTCCCAGAAGTGCCTGTTTTACTGTCCCAAAATAATCTGATTCTGAACGCATGGACGTGAACAAATTGAGCAAGAAGCCGTGGTATATATAGTGACAAGAAAGTGGGAGGATAATTAATGGAGAGCAATAACTCCTTGTCCCCAGCTAGGGAAAAAGCACATGTTCACTCTTGGAGACAAGGATGAAGAAACATGCTCAGAATGTCATTACATAGACCAAGAATATCTAAGGAAGCAAGTGCATTGTTTGGTAAAGGGACCTTGAAGACATCAACTGGTATGTATTAATAGCTTTGGATGGAGAAACAGTAATAGAATGGGACCTCATGTTGAGTGATTCAAAGAGGCAGTTAGTTTCCTCCCCTCTCTGGCCTTAGTCTGAAAGAACTAGCCATTTCCTCCTCAACTATAACAGTAAAGCAAGTACGCTTTCACTGGGGAAAGAATCCCTTGATATCCATAACCTGATATTCATTGTTTGAATTTTAGTAGACCCATAGTTTGAACTTAAAAGACCAAGCAGATGTTACCTATTTCATGGACTGGACTAAATGTAGTTCTCTTATTGTTAAGTTGGAATGAGGTCTTGTCCAAGAATAGAAGATGCTGTGATTAAAAACAGGCCATAGCATTGGATTAAGACCCATTATAATGGGCTTTTTAAAATATTTTTTCTGTGTACATTGAACATGTTAAGTTTGTAATTTTGTGTTTTGCTGTGGACATGAATGTATTGTGGATAATAGTTACTGGTCATGTGTGTATGATTTTCTGCTTTATCAAACTAATAAGTTTGGGTTCGAACACACTCCTGTGTGCAAGAAATGCCCATTTATTTCAGTAACTATTCAATCTTATATTTACTATCATTTAATCTGTTTACATATCTATGACTACTATAGGGAATCTTTTTCCCTTGCCAGCTTCAATGGCTTTTCCATATAGAACTAAGGAATGATCTGTAGTTCCTAAACATAAGTGGTCTTGGTTACTTTTTGGGGTTTCCAGATTGAGTCTCTTTAAGAATGTTCTAGTTTCATCTCTTCTGCCCCCTTCGCGCTGGTACCTAGTAGCTTCTCTGTACCACTCAAGAAATCTGGTATCCTAACTGAAGACCGAATGAGGAGAAAATTTCATTTTGCTACTTAAAAGCACCTTATCTTTCCCCCACTCTTATATTTCCTCCTCAATTTCATTAAATTCAGTGAACATTCACAAAAGCTTGGAAGTGATAACTATTTAGTTATCCCTTTTATAATTAGTGAAGGACAACAGATAAAACAGTAGTGAATATGATGTTCATGTTTCCCCATGTAGATTGTTTATATTTTCTCAGTGCTTGATTAGTTGTTTGATATGCACTTTGAACATTTAACACATTTGATAGTCCTCTTCATTAGTTTCCCATTCCAAAGTACTTGGGACAGTCGTAGCTTGTGAACCTTCCTGTTCATGTGAAAAAAAAAAAGTGTTTTGTGTTCCACTTTTCTGGTTTCAGGTGTAAGCATTTCTGTTTATAAAATAAATCTGCAAACTTTTGCATACTGTTCTCTTATTCTGTTTCTAAAGTAAAAGTAGGAAATGTCTTGTTTTTGTGGTTACTTAGTATTATCAACACTGTTACTATTGTTTGCTGTTACTAAAGCATGTTCCTAAGGAGTACAGATTGTTATTTATGTGGGATTCAGTGACAATGACTTATGCCTATTTTCTTCTAACATTCTCTGCTAGCCTTCAGCCATTTTCCCCACTGATGCACTCTTTGTGACATACTGGCCTTGCTTTTTCTTAAGCAGATCACTTTTTTTTTCCTGATCCAAAGACTTTGCAGCTGCTTTTATCTTACTTAGAATGCTTTCTTCTAGGCCTGCATGGCTTGCTACCTCATTTAATTGTTAGATATTTCCTTTGGTTCATTGAACTTCACTAGTGTTCTTAAAAATGACACTGACAGTGAATATCTCCCACTTCCCTTTAGTCTCCTTAAAGGCACTTTATGTATCTTCCCACTCCTCTCCCTTTTGCCTAATATAGGAAGAGTTCCTAAGTTTTCACAAAAATCTGAAGAGATTATCATTAAGGGCTTTGCTTCTCTTAGAATTGAGCTAGCTTGAGTCAATTTCTGTGCCTGCAAAATAAGAAAATAGAGTGAGTTGAGTTCTTTCAGGAGCTTTCTCTGTTTTTCTATTGATATCTATATTTTTAAGGCAATGTCACTTTGTTTTGTTTATATTGAATATACTGAATATCTGTCAAGATTACTATTTTGTTATTACTCTTTGTGAATCTTGTCTATTTTGCCTGCTTGTTCTTTCAGAAAAAAAATTTACCATTTTATTAATGTTGCCAAAAATCGTTAGTAAATATCAATCGTAATAAAAGTTTTTTTGAAAAATAAATGTTTTTGCTATTTCTTTTCACTAATAAGTAGGTATAATTTTAGTTTAATCCCTTGCCAGTGACTGGCCCTGGGTCAACAGGCCTGAAGTAAGGATACCATGAGGATTAAAAGAGAAATAAGAAAGAAAAAGCATAGGGTTGGGGCGGTCTCACTGCCTCACGGACTGAGAGTCTCAACTGTCTTCCATGTACAGTATTTATTGATTAGAATCAGTAATCAGAAGGAAAATAACATTCTTTAGTCAAATGCCTATCTTAGTCTATCATAGCTAGACTTTTACACATCTGAGGAAGTCAGTATATCAGGATCAAATCTGTGTAGCAGACTTCCTTAAGGGGAGGTTTCTTCCAGCCCAGAATAAAGATAGAACAATTCCAGGAGCTCCACTAAGGCAGTATTTCATCTCCCAATGCCAGCATTCTGGATTTAAAGGTCCCGTAAGCTACCAATCCTGCCGTCTCCTCTTAGTATCCAAAAAATCCCATTTTTAGATAAATAACCCTCTCTGTAAGACTGCTTCCCTTCTAAATGTTAAGCAATTATATGTGAGTTTTCTTTAATGAGAAGGCTTTACCATTTAAAGAAATATGGGGGCTGGAATGATAGCACAGTGGGTAGGGTGTTTGCCTTGCACGTGGCAGACCCAGGTTCAATTCCCAGCACCCCATATGGTCCCCTGAGCACTTCCAGGAGTAATTCCTGAGTGCACAGCCAAGAGTAACACCTGAGCATTGAAGGTGTGACCCAAAAATTTTTAAAAAATGTATATTAATACATTTCTATTTCTTTTTTTGTTTTGTTTGGGGCCACACCTGACAGGGTTTGGGGCTTATTCCTGGCTCTACACTCAGGAATTACTCCTGACAGTATTAGGGGAGTGATACCAGGGATTGAACCCGGGTCGGCCATGTGCAAGGCAAGCAAGCACCTTACCTGCTTTACTTTTGCTACAGCCCCAATAAATTTCTATTTTTATAGAGGGTTTTTTTTTTCTCTTTGGTGCCTAGAATTGAACCCAAGCCCTCATACGTGCAAAGCGTAGATTGTGTCTGAGCTACATCCCTGATCCTAGACTTTTTAAAGAGATGTGTTTAGTGTTGGATGCTTTACAACATCTATTGAAGTCATTCTTTTTATTTATTAAAGCAAGGTTGCCTGACTGGATTCATACATTTTCTATTAAAGACCTTCTTTTACTGAAGCAAAATGTTGTAGTTGATATTAAGAATTATCAACTCAGAATTATAGTCTCTTTCTCCTTGTAAACGTTGAAATACATTTCTCCCACTCATTAGATGTTTCCATTTATCGATACCTTTTTTTTTCCAAGAAAAACCTTTGACACCCCAACTATTGTCATCCAACTTCCTCCCCCTATTTTTGTATTGACTCATTAGGATTGTTTTGAAGACTTTTGTTTTTTAAGTAAATTTGAGGGGTGGTGGCATATCCTGTGGTGCTCTGAACTTACTTTTGACTTTGAACTCGGGGATCATTCCTGGTGGCACGCAGAGGACCATATGTGGTACCAAAATGGGGATAGAAAATAGATAACGGAAAGGCACGGGATATTATGCAAACTTCTCTGTGAAGGAGTTGTTTATGGATTGGTGAATATTTTATAATGTATACAAATATCTCGGGGGGGCTAGAGAGATAGTATAGGGGGTAAGGCACTTGCCTTGCATCTTGCTGACCCTGGTTCAAATCCCTGGTACCATATATGGCTCTCCAGCAACACTATGGACACAAAGTCTGGAATAACTTGTGAGCACAACTGAGTATGGCCCCAACAGAAACAAAAATCTTCAAAAAAATGAGAAGATGAATAGGGAAAACTCTGACATGCTAAAAATAGTGATTTGTAAGTTGTTTATGGAACTATCAATGTCCTGTAAAGATTACATTAATAAAAGCTATTTAGGGGACTGGAGAGATATTACACTGGTTAGGGCGCTTATCTTGATGCAGCTAGCCCGGGTTTGATCCCTGGTATCCCAAGCACTGCCAGGAGTAGTTTCTGAGTGCATTGTCAGGAATAACCCTTCATAGCTGGATGTGGCCCAAGACCAATCCGAAAGATTTTTTTTTATTATTTCTTTTGGAGGCCAC